TCAGTGGTGTGAATGTTTCATAAACATTCACCTATAAAAGTGGTTAAATCAATCATCTTGAAGACGGAGTAATGATTAGTTATAAATAAACCAGCAGGTATTAAAAGATGTTGATGGAAGCCACAAACTGTCAGGAGAACAGTCTGGACAAAGACAGCACCACAGCCACGTGGCGTGTTGATGCTGTCTGACACGGAGAGCTGATGAGCAGAGAAGTTCATCAGTTCAGCCACAAACAGCAGGTTCACACTGAAGCCACGCTGCCTCACGATGTCTGCACTGCACAGTTTCATCACTGTTTTGTGACGGTGTTGGACTGAGACACACATTTACTATAATTTTGAGCAAACAAATAATTGTTTCTAAGTGTTCATCTTGTTAAATTCTTGTTAAAGTCCTCTCGTGCACGCTCCCGCAGCTGCCATTTGGCAGCTAATCGGTTTTTGGCACAACACCGGCCCACATTTCCGGGTTGTCAGCGGTGACGCGTAATAGATGCGATGTATTTATGGATTTTTCCACTTTATTAGACATATTTAGACTGATGTGACTTATAGGGCGGAGCGACAGTAACAGCAGAAAATATGGTACAGTGATTTTTATGGTTAGAGATTCATGAGTCTAACAGCTTCAGGGTAGTGGTTCTACACTAAATGCTCCACAACCTTCTGCCTGAGGGGAGCGTGGCAAAAAGTGTGTGCTGGGTGAGTGGGGTCCTTCATGATGCAGGTGGCTCTCTTCCTGCATCTGGAGGTGTAGATGTCTGTGATGGTGGGGAGGCTGACTCCAACATCTTCTGTGCAGCCTTCACCACTCTCTGCAAAGCTTTTCTTTCTGCAGCTGTGCAGCCTCCATGACACACGTTGATGCTGGAGCACAGGATGCTCTCCACTGCACACCTGTAGAAGGAGGTGTAAAATGAGCAGGCATTTGGGCTGCAGACCTCACTAGCATGTCAAATTGAATGAGATGAACACAGAACGTTTCTAAGTGAAGCTCTGATCGCTTTGAAGCTGACTTGTTGTTTACAGTCGCAGGATGTCAGCATTTGTTTTCTGTCGCCCCCTGCAGGATCCTGGCTTCCTGCACGGAGCTCATGCAGGCAATCAAGGCGCTTGTTTTGTCCTCTAAAGATCTTCAAAAGGATATCGTGGAGAGTGGGAGGGTGAGCTTTAAATTGTCTGTTTTCTGCCTTTAAGTGAAAACCCATCAATCACTGACCATCTCTGTAATCAAACCAGAGTTTAGTTCAGTGTTTGCTTTGTGTCCACCAGGGGGCAGCGTCCATGAAGGAATTTTATGCCAAGAACTCCCGCTGGACCGAGGGCCTGATCTCTGCCTCCAAAGCAGTGGGATGGGGTGCCACGGTCATGGTGTAAGTTTAAAAACGCCTCTGTTCTTCAAATCGGGGTGAAAGCATGGAGAGTGTGAGCAGCTGGGCTGGCTTTCTAAATCCTAAATGACCAGAAGAGTGTGCATGAAACGAAAACAGAATAAAAACAGTTGTCATGTGAGTTTGTTCCTGTTTTTCCCCTAACCCCCACCATGAAGCTGATTCCCTTGAGTTAATGACGCTCCGTCGTGTGGTGTTGCAGAGACGCAGCCGACCTGGTGGTGCAGGGCAAAGGCAAGTTCGAGGAGCTGATGGTGTGCTCGCGTGAAATAGCTGCCAGCACGGCACAGCTGGTGGCTGCTTCCAAGGTAAACAAAGAGAAAGGAGTTTTTTTCTCCCAGAAGCGTTTTTTTTATTGCAGTTTTTTAACCGGGGGGGGGGCACTAAATGCTTCTGTTTGCTGGACTTTTCCTGTTTTGAATGTTAAGCTCTTATTACTGCTGTCTCCCTCACTCATCAGGTAAAAGCAGACAAAGACAGCAGCAACCTGCAGCGTCTGCAGCAGGCGTCCCGCGGCGTCACACAGGCCACCGCCGCGGTCGTCGCCTCCACCAAGTCTGGGAAGTCCCAGATCGAAGAAACGGGTGAGAGCGTTTCCTGTGGTTAGCAGCCGCTGCTCACGTCCTGTATCTCAGAGCTTTTCTGACTCCAAGTTCATCAACTTGTTGTTTTAACTTCTAATTGTTTCTATCATTAAAAATATATTTGATAATTCTTCTTTACATCAAATTGTCTTTTTTGTTTTATTTTAATTAGAAACGATGGATTTCTCCAGCATGACTCTCACTCAAATCAAGCGGCAGGAAATGGATGCGCAGGTAAACAGAAACAAAAAGTTCTTAATTACAAGCCACAGGGGGGGGGGGGGCACTGTGATTTTTAAAAATATGATTAATTTATTCCGTTTATTTCTATAGCTCCAAGTCACAACAGAAGTCATTCAGGGCGCTGAATAGAAACGTTCATATACATAAAAAATATAAGTTAACAGTAAATTAAGTGATTTTATCCACAGCCTTCCTGTGAGTGGACCTCATGGCTCAACAGAACCTTTTCAGGGGGGAAAATGGACTCGACAAGTTAATTAAAAGTGTATAGTTTTACTTTTGACCTTCAGAGGAGCTGAATGTCTTCAGACTGTTGTGGCTTTGAGATGAACTTATTTACCATAAGTGGGGTTCTATACAAAGCTGATATTTTTTAATCCAAATCTGACTTCCAGTTTGTATATAACAAATATCATAAAAGTATTCTATTAACACTCATTTAAAATTTGACTGGATGTTTCAGGACCCGCACCGAGCCAAACTTTAAACACCCGTGTTTTTGTTCATGGGATGTAAGACCAATAATTCAGCTATAAAGTAACTTTTGCTAAAAGCAGAATAAAATAAAACCAAAGTTTTTAATTGAAACAAATAACTGTTCAATAATAAGATACATTGTTGAAAAATAATAATAATAATAATAATAAAGGCTTTTCAGCACTAAGTTTTAAATGATCATTGGCTTGAGCAGCTCAAATCAAATCTGCTATGAATAACAAATATCTTACCTGTTGTAGATGGCTTTTTCAACAACTTCCAGTGAGCAGAAACTGTTGAATTCTGACCGGAGCTAAAGGTCTGAGTGGATCACTGGTCTTTAAAATGTCAGTTCAGCATAAACGCTTTTTGCTATACCTTAGCTGATGCGTTTATTTTTGTGTTGTTTTATAATTATTTACAAGCACAGAAATCATCAGCAGCAGCAGCTAGCTGTAGCACTTCTGAACCAGCCTGGGGGCACTTCCTGCTGGTATATTACCTGAAGTAACTAATGTGAAATTTAAACAAAAGCTCTGAGACTGAAGCTGTTTTGAGACGATTAGCTCGTCAGTCGGGTCAGAACTAAACGTCTCCAAACAGAGGTTGTATCTGCAACAGGTAAGATGCTGTTTTTCATAACCACTCCAAAGAACCCCACTTCCAAAGATGTAAACTTTAAGGTTTGTGTAATTTTCCTTCTCAGGTTCTGGTGCTGGAGCTGGAGACCCGTCTGCAGAAGGAGCGGGAGCGTCTGGGCGAGCTGAGGAAGAAGCACTACGAGCTGGCCGGCGCCTCGGAGGGCTGGGGCGAGGAAGAGGAAGGTGAAGATGAACGGCAGCGTCTTCAGGGAGAAAATTCCTGCTGCATAAACATTTAAATGACCTCCCTTTTCTTCCACAGGTACAGGGTGAGAGCTCCCTCCATCGACGCCCCGCCCCCCTCCATTTGAAGACGGGCTTTTGTCCGCCTCATTTTATTTATAGACACACTTTAAAACCGTCTTCGTCTCCCTTCGAGGTTCATTTCATTTATTCGCTTGTTACTGAAGCCAAATGAACGGTGCTCCCCCACCCCTTCACCAGGGTCTCAGCGTAAGCGGGGTCAGAGATAAACGGATGAAAAGGTGGAAGAGAAGCTTCACGTCTCCACTGCTCCAGCTCCACGTCGCAGCAGAGATGCTACACGTTCTGCACAAGAGACAGGCTCAGCAGCGACCGTGCACAAACAGTGTTTCTGCATTACTTCCACACGCTCTTATTTTGTAACCAGGACGTTTGTTTCTCATCCTCCTGAGTTCCTCCTTGTTCTTTTCTCACTGTGAGTGAAGTCCACGCCGCTCCACAGGCCGCTCCACAGGCCGCTCCACAGGCCGCTCCACAGGCCGCTCCACAGGCCGCTCCACAGGCCGCTCCACAGGCTGCTCCTCTGGACTTCCTGCCTTCCACGTCCTCACCATTGTAACAACCGTGACTGTTAGCTTAGCACCCCCACACTCACTGGGTTTTAATTCTTTTTTCCCCACAGAGGCTGGCAGTGAAACTTGTGAAATGACCTCAGGGTCTTCAGGGTTTGGTGTTTCAGAAGGTTAGCATCACAGCGAGGCTTTTTGACTGAAAACACTAACGAACTTTTATTTTTCACCCTTTTTTAGTTATGAATTTAAAAATCAGGGTAGCGAGCCAGCCCTCGATTATTAAATGAAGGCGGCGCAGTGAGCTCCGACAATTTCTTGTCCCGCAACACAAATGTTGCTCTTTAATTTGCGTCTGTTTTAATAAAGTTTAAGACTTTTCACCGATTTATTTTTATTATAAATTAATTTAGAGCTTTCAGAAAGGCAAAAATGTACATTTTATCAGATAAGCTGCACAAGAAGCAAAGTCCTTGTTTTATGTGTTTAAATCGTGCTCGTCTTGGACTGAAGTCACAAACATTTCCAGAGGAGTTCAGTAAGACTCGCCTGGTTTAGCCCTTGGTTTTTGGGTTCCAGAGGACTCACTGTTTATCTGGTGCACGGACTGGAGACCTCTCAAGACCATGGAGCTGAGTGTTTAAACCACAAGTCATGTACAGGTGCTGGTCATAAAATTAGAATATCAGGAAAAAGTTGATTTATTCCAGTAATTCCATTCAAAAAGTGAAACTTGTATATTATATTGATTCATTACACACAGACTGATATATTTCAAATGTTTATTTATTTTAATGTTGATGATTATAACTGACAACTAATGAAAACCCCAAATTCAGTTTCTCCAAAAATTAAAACAT